ATCTGTTAGCTATCTTGGATCAACAGAGGAACACTTCCTTGTTTACATTCTACTTTAATAAAAAGTCTACCAGGGACAGGGAATGGGCACTGCTGGAGCTCCAAGATTTGCTTGACATTTGATTCAAATAGGAGCCAGGCTGGACTGGTACATCTGTTGCCTGCATTCAAGTCATCTTGGGACACAATTAAGAGGGGAAAAAAATTCTTGAACAAAAACAAATGTGAACTTCAAAGCTTATGTCAGTTCAGGGATTATTTCTTTGAAGCCAGCAAAGCTGGGAAATGAGTAAGGCCCTGGTGTTCAGGGAAGAAGTCTATACCCCACTTGGAGCCAAAGCACAATGGGATCCAGAATGATTATTTAAAGCTCTTCTCAGACTTTTGAGGTTGCCTTTCTTTTCTCCATTCACTCCTCTCACTGTTTTTTCTTACCTTCTTTCTATTCCCAATCCAACATGCCCTATTCCCTCATGATTCCTGGCTTCTACTCCATTAAGTCTACAAGTGCTCTGTTCCCTGCCCTTGCCTTGCCTAGTTCCTTCTTGTTACTTTAAATGAATCTCTCCAATTCTTTCTGTACCTCCAAAGAAAGCCCTAGCTTTGATGGTAACCCATCAGAAGGATCTCAGACTTCATTTTCTCTCTTCAAAGAGTCATTTCTCTATTCATATCCCACACACTCCTGAGTTGCTCTCAAGCAGATGCACTGTGCTATCTCTCTCCAACCCACAACATTCATGAGACAATAGCTGACTCGGCAGAGTTCACCAGACATGCCAGAGCTTCAATGCTTAAACTATGAGAAGACAAACACTTTCAAAATTATGCAAAATCTAAAATGGACCATGAAGCAAATGCTAAATGCGAGTCAAATACAGTCTGCTGAAAGAACTTTGTTGTGGGAAGCTCCTTATGTCACCATAAAAGAGAGTACAGGGCTGATGTTCAAAAGTTCCTCAGAGCTATTCCGAGCTCTGAAAAACTAGGACTCAAGCCCTCTATTTACCTTGGCATAAATCAGGAGTAACCCATTAACTCTAATGAAGCTACACCAACATAAATCTGGTGTGTGAAGAACTAAACCTACTTACTGCATAGGTGTGGCCAAATCACTTAGGCCAACATTTTCAAATGTGCCTTTTAATTTTGGCTGTCTCATTTTTGAGTGCCTGGGTGTTTTAAGTAGGGCACCAAAAATAGAGACCCAAAATTATAGGCCTCTTGAGACAGTTTGGACCTCAGTTTCTCTAGGCCAAATTCTGCTGTCATTTGAACTTATTACAATGGAAGTCTGGAGTTGATGCACTGAAGCCTATAAGGTTAAAAAGATTTTCTGTGGCAAATGAGAAGAGATTGCAGCTGCCTGTACCTAGTTTACCTAATTTGTAACCCAGAGACAGCGGGTCAGTTCCTGAGCTGATGTAGACTGGCATCGATTCTCTGAAGCTCCAGTGCCAGTTTATAACACAGAAATCTGGCCTAATAATATAATAACCTATCTAAATTATGGGGGCACTGTGAGACATAGTAATTAGCTCTTTGAGGGTGATGATCCTGATATCACGTGCACCATTGTAAACTGGAAGTAACTATACTGTAAAGTCAGTAAAGTTACAATGCTATAAAATCGACCTATATGAGAAACAAATCAGGTCCAGTGCATGCTTTTATGTTGATTGCTACCACTATTAACTCCGAGATGGTGTCAGTTCAAAGGAGCCACATATTAGAGAAAAGAAAAAGCCACAAGGGAGATCACTGTCCACTTGCAGTGTGTTGAAAAACATGAAAACAAACAAATGCAGTGTTTCATCTGACTAAAAATAGAGCAGTCAGTTTTCATTTGGTTTAGGAACATGTTGTTCTAGCCTTGGTGGGTCAAATCTCCGTAGGACTGACCCAAGCTTGAAAAATCTCACTAACTATAGAGCCCAAAGCCAAATCTCCTACACATCCTAACCCTGAGTACCAGGAAATGGGACTCTCTTCTATTTCTCAATAATTAGGACATGTGGTTAACCTGGAATGACTGGAGATATTTCCAATGAGCCCTTTGGGAATCTTCCAGCAGCTATAGGAAATGGGTATGCTACATATGAGAGATGCCTACATGAGGCTACTCAACTTTAGTAAGTTCTCACTTACTGTCTATAGAATAGGAGCCCATCACAGAGAAACCTACAAATAAAGTCAGTGTTTCCTAAATATGGACCTGTTCTTTCTGGGAAGAAGATTTGCCACAGGCTTTAGTGAAAGCAGGATCGTATCTCACATGTACAAAGCTCAGATGAAGTGAACTGCAGTTCTAGCGCTATTTAGGAAAAATTTACAAGGATGCAACTAAGATCATAAAACCACATGACTGCACTTCATGACACACAGTGAAGATATTTTAAAACCTCAGTCACAGCATGACTGGCATGAGACTTTCATAGAGAAATCTCCTGCTACATCTTGAGGCCAAAACCTGAAAAAGAAACTAGCACTGTCTTCTCAGTATAGTGTTTTCTTCCCACCTTCCTCTGCAGTTTAGGGTTAGTATCTATCAGTGAAAAAGCAAAATGCAAGATCTCTCTCTAGTGAAGTGATCTGATCCAGATAAACAATCATAGATCGTAGCTTCTCCCCACCTTTCCCCTCAAATCTTTCTTCCTGTAATGTTACAGCTTCTCTCCCCATTTTCTACAAGCAACTTTATATGTAGGGTGTCCTTTCTGAACTACAGGGAAATTTCCTTTCTTCAAGCATTTCCCAGGCTTCCAAGCCATTGCAGGTAGAGCGGTACCCTAGCCAGCTGCTTGTGGGTGGATGTCTGGAAACCAGAAAGACACAATCAAGTCTCCTTCTGTGGATCCTGACTTGGAAATCCTTTCCACATTCCCCTGGCCTCCACTAGCTCCACATGCATTAGCCCAGAATGGTACAGAAGCACTTCAGTGCCAGCCTGACTCACTGCTGAGCCAGCTGAAATGGTCTGCCTCATCATTTTTACTCTTGCTGATTGTATCAACATTCAAGCCTTTTATTAGGGAAAATATTTTCAGCTCCTAACAACTCATTAAACCTATTCTAAAATAGTTTTTTTTCCTTTTTAATGCTGTCAGCCAGCCAATTAGACTGCTGCAATGTAATATTTCCTGGAAAAGTAGTTGCCAACCTACAGTAAATAAAATTCAATAAAAAATAAATAGGGATGGGTGAATACTGGCACAGAACCCAGATCCTAGTACTGTTCATGTCAATAAATTTAATTTCATATTTGTATCAGCAATGAGGAGTACAGGGTTTTGCTCCCAGAATACACACTCTCTCTCATTCATAGCCATGATCCTTTCCAGTACAACTTAATTTCCCTCAAATCAGGCAAGCTTGTATAGTATGGCATGGCAGCCCTGAACTTGGATTAGCACTTGAACATCTGTCCGTTAAACTTTGCCCCGTTTCATTAGCTGACATGGACATTTCCCCACCCACTCAAGCAGAGAAGGAGATTCCGGCAGCAACTTTATGCCCAGAAGACTGGAACTGACTGATTTCACTTTGGAGAGCCAATAGATGTTATGCACAGATTTCCCATCCAATCCTATCCTCTCCCTCCCCAGCAACCCATTCTGCCACCCACAAGAAGAAAAATATTTGCAGACTTGTTCCATTACAAAAACAATGCAAACCAGTTAGTAGGGACTTGAAACAGCCTTTTTATGGTTGCTTGTTTGTTGAAGCCAATTACTGACATTGCAGAATGTTGTATTGTGTAATTCACACTGACTCTGCTTTTCATTGTAGCTTTAAATTGACATTAAACAGGATCATTGCTCCTTGCAGCACCTGCATTGGTCCAGCTTGCTGATTTAGAAAAGAGTTTTTATTTTCTAAATCTTTGGTAAATGAAAAGTGTCAAAACACATGCATCAAACACTTCTGCTTTATCTGGTAAAATCCCTTTCTGATTTCAGCAGGGGTCTGATCAGAAACTCAGTCCAGAGTCAGCTGGGTTCAGGTCTGTTAGGATTAGGAACAACTATTTATGTCTCCCATAGACAATTGTGAGTGCACCTCAGTATGCAAGGAAGCGACTAATTTAGTTATACTAACAATAGTAAGTACAGTGCGTTATAAAGTTTTCATTTTAAAATATTTTTTCCCTTAGTGAATGTGCCTTCTTTTAATTGAATGGGCTTTACTGCTGGTTTGAGTATCATTTTGGCTGCAGAGGAAGACAATTATTTGTTTTCCCTGGCACACAGACTTCTGTTCTGTTTTATAAATTTCCTAATCCATTATCCCTGGAGGTGCCAGAGCCCCTCAAGTTTTCCACTGTTACTATCTCCCTGCCTTCTTCAGGGATGACCCTGCATCAGTCACTTTCCTATCCTGAGATATTTCTCAGTTCTTTCTTCCTATATAATTACCAAACTCCCCTAGGGAGCCAACAAAAGGCTACAGAGTCCTGAGGTGTTTAGTATTCAGGACTTTGCAGGCTTTATCTAATAAGCATTTTGTATCTGCTTCTCTGAGTAGCCTGACAAATAGGATTGGACAGAATTTCTCAATGCCATTGTAAGGAAGCCTGGAAATGGCTGTCAGATGATGAAAGAAAAACTTCTCATAGCTGAAAGTTAAGACTGAAAGGGTTAAAAATAAATCGCCTACTGTGAAAAACCTTAAGGAAGTTAGTTCTTGCCTGGGGTTTATTTGGGATTTTACTGACTTGCTACCAGTACAAGAAAGATCTTGATTTCAGTCCCCAATTAATTTTGTAGCTTTCCAAAGATATTCCCTCCCCTCTCTCCCACATACCCCGACACAGAGCATGAAAGGGCTGTTTTTCAGCCCCTTTCTAAGTACACTTCAGGAAAAAAAACCCCCAGCTAGATCTAAATCATTGTGGCTTCCAAGCTGCCTTCAGATTGTTTTAGAGAAAAAGAAAAGAAAGCGGTGCTTGCCTGGGTCTGTTCACAAAGAATAGAGAAGAGTTGTTGCAGCAGCTGCACTTACATTGTAGTCCCCATGTCCCTGCGCAGTTCCCCCCCTTTCTGCAGTCCTATAATCCACACAGAGCCGTGCTTGTCTTGCTCCTTTCACTCTCTGTACTGTACTGTACTCAGATTGGAACTGCTGCTGTTTTCACTTTCAGACCAACCTCCCAAAGCCTCTGACGTCAGGCAGCATCGATGAGATATTTATGGCATGAGTGGTTTAAAGTCTCTCTAAGCAGAGAGTTTGAATTGCAGTGCTTTGAGATTTGTAGTTTTCACACTATAGGACTGGAAAACCTTTCCCAGGGGGAAGCTGCTAGGAAGGGAGGTATAAAGGGAACATTACTGGAGGACCAAGGCAGACATTGAGGAGGACTGTTTCAAACGCTACTGAAAGAAAATTCTTTCTCTTTTCTGTCTTTTGTGAACGCATCCAGGCCTGAAAGGCAAAAATCTTCCATATGGATGCTATTTGTAATAGAGGTGTTTTCAGATGATGCCTCAACTGCAACATGCAATGCAGAAATATTGTTCTAGATCATTGCTTCTCAAAGTGGTGGTCCGCGGACTGGCCACCAGTTGCTGGTCTGCAGCGAGTTGCCAGGAAAGAAAGAAATATATTTTCAGAAGCATAACGTTGATATGTCATAGCACCACAGTTCGTACGTTCCAACATTCCAAGTGACGTCACGTTGTGCAAGGTGAGGAAAGAGAAAGAAACAGCCGGTCACACATTTGTGTAGCCGTTACACACAGTTGCTGCCACCGACTGAACCAGGCACTGGTCCCTGGCCCAATGGAAAAAAAACTGCCGGTCCACCACATCAGATAGTTTGAGAAGCACTGTTCTAGATCATTGCATTTGGCAAAAGAAGACATTTTTAAAGCGTCATTCTCTGTGCCACCAGCATATCCCCCGCAACTGTTTCAAGCCTTTGACTGGATTTACATAGAAAATGGATGAATCTGGCCTTCCTAAACTCCTTGATCCTTTGCATTTCCTACACCCTTTCCTGATTTTGCACCATCATTCTTCTCCTTGTGTTGGGACCATCCTCCCCACTAATGCAGGTCTAGTTGCTGTGTCTTGTGGAAAAAAAGAATGGTGCAGAGCTGATGATGGCAGAAAGAAACACTAGAGTGAGTTATGGAATAATCTGACTCGTGCCCCAAGTATGGCAGATGAAGGGTAAAGTTGCTATGCTAGGAAGGGTAACAGCTAAACCTGCACGCTGTACCATTCATGCCACCATTATCAATAATACCTTTTCATAGTTACCTAGGGCCCGAGCTATAAAGATATTTAGATGCTCACGCTTCTATTTTTTTTTAGCACAAGAGTGATGGTTTAGCTGGGATGATCCAGAAATGATGCGAGGCAAATATTTCTTAGGGTGATATCTTTTATTGGACCAGTTAGGTAGCTAGGTTATGTTAAAAAAGTTTTCGAATGCAAGACATTCTTCCTAAGGTCTTTGATCACAGAAACAAGGCAGCAGGAGAGGGGAGAGGGGGAGGGAAATTATCAGGGGTAGCAAACATACAAGTAGCAGAAGTTAAGAAGCTTATTACTGGGAGGTGACAGCCTATCAGACAGGAGGAGGGTCACCTTTTCTGTGTGGAAGAAGTTCAGGAGTTGGGTAAAATATAATGTATCATAAACCGGATATTAATGTTTAGTCCTTGGTTCTTAGTGTCCAACCAGCTTATGCATTTTTGTTGTTAAAAAGTTCACCTTTTAAAGGTAGATTTCCCTTGAGCATGGGATAGTGAGGTCAGAAAGCGAGTGATTGTTCTGTGAGAAATGGGCTCCTAATGGTGTGTGTGCCTCCTTCCTTTACATATTTTTGTGTCTGGGTTCATTCTGATGCATAGTTGCTGCTTAGTCTCACCCACGTAGTTGCCACGAGAGCATTGGATCAGATATATCATATTTTGGGAAAGGCATGTAAGGAACCATGGATTCTAGTGGTTTTTTATGATGGATATGTTGACAAGTTAAGCATTTCTTGTTAAGGCAAGTGTCCCACTTGATGTCTGTTAGGCAGCAAAGAGTTTGCTTCTGATAATGAGTTGGGCAAGGTTGAGGAGCTGTTTGAAAGCTAGGTGCAGAGGGGCTGGGGATATTTAGGTTCCCCTATGTTGTTTTTCTCTATGCTGTGCCTGGTTCCTGTGATCAGAGACTGGAGGAAGAATGTTTTGCTTTCAAACACTTGTCTAACTTTATCCCAACTGCGTGGTTGGTCCAATAAAGATATCAACCTAAGAAATTTTGCCTCTCACATAAGAATCTATTGAAATTAATGGGAGTTTAGACTCCTAAATAGGAGTTAAGAGCCTAAATATCTTTTTCAATCTGCCCCCTAATGTTTTGCATCTGGGAAAGTTGTTCAAAAACTTCACAAATAACAGATGCCTCTGAAATTGCAGCTGTTTTTTTCCCATGCACAACTATTTTCGGTGTATGAAGAGCACTTGCTTATGCAAATCCAGCAGTTGGGTTTCTTAGTGCCAGTTTTGGATAAAGAAGTACTATTTGCAAATGTGAAGTTTCGCCTATCCAAGTAAGTGAAAGTGCAAATTTATAAACTGATCCTGTGTGTACATACATTTCATAATCACATTTGTCTCTGCCCTGCCACCACTCCTGCATCTGAAGCCTGAGCCAAAACCCATTAAAATCAATTGGAATCATTTGATTAACTTCAAAGAGCCTTAGATGAAGCTCTTTTTGATCATTCCATAATATGCATTAGTCCAGCACATTGAAATGTCACCAGTGCAGCCAAAGGCCTTGAGATAAAATCCAGAAAACAAGAGTAGTGTGCTCAGAAAAGAATTTCCCACTACCTTACTTCAATAAGTCTGGGAATCCAGGAGTATTGGAAATGCTCTCAGACAGACAGGGTGTTTTTCCAATCCCAAAATTACATCTTCCAGAGCAGTGATGCCCAACCTATTTGCCTGGTGGGCCAGATGGGCAGTGCCCAGTCCATCCATGGGCCAAATCTGGCCAGTGGTGCTGATCCCACATCTGGGGTGGGTGCAGCAGGTACCATCCAGTCACACAGAGGGTTGCAGGGGGCAAGCCGGCCCAGTGCAGTCCCACAGGAGAAAGGAGCTTGACCCAACCCCACAGAGGGGAAGCGAGAGTGGCCCGGCCTCAACCTGGCCCTGCAGGGAAGGGGGAAATGGGGTGTGGCCATGTCCCCACCTGTCCCCATGGGGGGAAAGGGGCATGGGTTGGCACCAACCCAGGTCCAAGAGGAGGGAAGGTTGCATGGCCAGGTCCCAACCTTGCCCTGTGGTGTGGGGGAAGGTTGCGTGGCCCAGCTCTGATCCAGAAGCAGGGGGAAGGGGGTATGGATCAGTCTTGCAGGGGAAGGGGCTGCACATGGGGTTTGGGAATTTGGCAGCCAGGGAGGATGGCTATATAATGGCCATCACTCCCTCACAGCCAAATTTCCAGACCTGAGGGGATCACCATGGGCGAAATGAGATGGCTCCATAGGACACATTTGGACTGTGGGTTAGAGTTTGAGCACCCTTGCTCTATAGCTAAGGACCTAATGACATTTCTATATAAAAAGATCCAAGTTCGCACTATAAAATCCAGCTGCTTAAGGCCTCCTTCAAAGCCTTTCTTCCATGACTACCAAAATCCCAACCTATCCTTTAAATGCTGGTTGGGGTATCAGTCCCTAGCCTTCAGCATTACTTTGCCCTGCATCCATGTATTGAAGTTAAGTGTGAAGCTAACTTGCTTCCTGCTGGTAATGATACAGGACCTCCACAGCTTGTGATACAGCTTCTCTGCAGGGAACTATGGATTTTATTACAGATTTCAGATATTTTGTGTACAATCTCTCAAGCAACTTAATGTGTGGAGCGCTGCTTTTCAGTGGCTTTCACTGAACCAACTTACCATACTTAATCGTTGTGCTATAAGCCCAATAAAGGTTCCTGTTGTATGCTGAGAATGAGATAACTCCACAGTGAGTCATGTTTTCTCTCAATTTAATTTCTAAAACCATATTACATTCTAATCCCTTGGGAGTGAAGAGGGAGTGAAAACCTTGAAAATCACGAGGAAGTGATACACTAATAAATACAACCAACCTTTGTATGTGATCCAATTGCAAATATAATTTCTATTTTGAAGTAATTTTTTGGTGTAAAAAAACATCCCAGACACTTGGAATCCTTTGTTTATTCAGAGATTGAACACTGCATGGACAAGGGCAGTTTAAACCATTGCTATAAATGCATCTCTGTTCTGTTCTTAAGTGATCACCTCTAGGAAGTAAGTTTGTTTTCCATGATTCAGCCTCTGGCTTCTCTGTTAAGATTGTCAATTACCACAGGAACAGCCATTCACAAAGAACTGGACTAAGACCATTAATTCATTTAATTTAGGGTCACAAATTTAGAAGGTGCAGATTATCAGATCCTACTCACCTAGACTGGATTTAAATCAGTGGCCAAGAAATAAAAGATTCCCAAACCCAACCCTGCACCTCAGAAATTGCTGGTCTCCTTTTGAGCTCTGGAGGCCTATATGGCATGGAAAATTGTATGAATATTTTATTTCTATGGCTCACTAGGAAATTCTCTAGTAAGTGGGTTTACTTAAGGCCATGTTAATGTTTCCATTATAAATTCTTATTTACAGAAGTAAAATACAGAGTAAGTTTAGATTTAGAATATGGTTATGAACCTTTTCCTGAAGCACTTAAGATGCAGGTTAACAGGCAAATAATGTTCTTTATCCCAAGCCCAATTAAGCGGAGTTGGCATGTAGGTGTACCATGAAGGTCTCCCACTCTCGAGCTGTTGGGCCACTTTATTCTTTATTGCCACTATTGAAAATAGAGCAATGCTGTGCAGCAACTCCTGAATTTGCAGCCTCTTGTGGGTGGATGGCTAGAATGCCTGATTGACGTGGGCAGTTACAGAGCTAAAGCCCTACCTTTGAGATGTGCCCCACCAAGTTCAGCTCCATGAGGCCCAACCAGAGCCCCATTAGAGCACAGCTCCACAGTATGCAGAGGCTGGAACCCCCATTTGGAGATTTCCCACAGTCTTGGATCTAACACATGTTAGAACAGTGGAAAGGGTGTCCTCTCTGCCTGTGATGGGGAAGC